CGCGTTATACGCCGGAATATACGGTAAAATCGTAATAATTTTGAACAAAAAGTAATCATGAAATAAAATCGTTTTAAGTTCATAAACAAATGCGTCCCTTTCAGAAAGTCAAAATTCAACATTGTCGTAGCATCTCTGTTTTCTGTAGAGTGGCCCGCACGGTATTTTTTTTTTGTCTATAAGCTAATAATTACCAAATGTTTTCTTGTTTTTTTTAAAATTTCATCATACCTCCTGTACATTTTTCTATAAACTTTCGTAATTTTAAGTTCCTAAAAGTGATTGTTTTTGTGCAGAAAAACAAAATGTAATGTAAAGTAGATAACACAAAAAAGTGGCGGGGCGATGACGATTTTTTAACAGAGAAAGAAGTAATATTTTTCTAATCAGTACGACTTGAGATCCCACAAATCTTTAATTTGAAAATGAGCATTAATAACAGAGTCTCTGTCTTCGTTAAACTATACATTAATCATTATATCTTAGATGATAATAAATGGTCTATATTTGTGAACCTTTTTCCCACTCATTTTTATCTTCGCCTTCCATCATCGTTCAACAAATGCACCTACAGCATCGATTTTGATAATTTCCAATGAATTCTCAGAGACGGAGGGTTGTTTTTTATTAGATAAAGTATAGATTCTCTAAGTTGATTGAACTTGAATAGTAGTTTCACTTATAGAACTGAAGCAAACTTAACTAATTTTTTTGCGTATTATTGTGCGTGTACATCGGCTTTATAATCTAGCTTAAGTCATGTCGTGGAAAATTGTTTATAAAACCGAATTTACCCCAAATGACCGATGATTAAAAAACTGCAAGAAAAAGAAAAGTGCAGTTATGCTTAGGAAACTAGATTGTTTATTTTCACCAAGCCTCAAAATTAGTTTCAAGGTTCATCAACAGATAACGCTACTACTTTATTTTATTTCCGGCGTTGAACAGCTGACCCAATTCTGAGTTTACGGCTATCAATATTCAACTGCGTAGCCTTGTAATTTTGAACACAACCCAGAAGACAAGGGAACTCCTAGTTTAAAAATTGGGACAAACTAGCTATCGTGGAGGGGACTTTTTGATGGAACTAACCGACATTTGTGTTAGATGGCGAGAAAACCACGAAAAGCCTGGGGGCAAGGGGGTTTTTAACCTATGATATTTCTACCACTGGGGATATTTTATGTCAGCACTGTGGCCGGTTTGAGCCAAAAGCACTACTATTTTATAACCGTCATTGAACAACCGACTGAATTCTGAGTTTACAACTACCACTGTTCAACTCCGTTGCCTTGTAACTTTGAATCCAATTCAGAAAACAAAGAAACTCCTAAATCAAGCATTGGGAGAAATTTACCTTCGTGGAGGACTTTTTGATGGAACAAACCCGCATTTGTGTTACATGGAGAGGGAAACCACGAAAAATTACCACGATTATATTCTGACGGCAGGGGGCCTCTGAGCGTTACTATTTGAGAACGACTGTAAAATAAAGTTTTCAAAATGACCACTCTTCGGTGCAGTCGGAGGGCAAAATTAACGAAGTCCCTATAAATATTTCAGCTTGGATGATCTGACATGCTGCCGAAAACAATGTTTTTTTTACTATTTTCCAGCAATACAATCAATTTGTAAACTTTATAACTAAATTTGACATCGTGTGGATAAATAGTTGGTTTCCTAAACAAAACGCAGCGAACTGTGCATTTCTATTTTATTTTGTTTGTAAATGTAACCGATTTCATTAAATTCTATATGGGTCATTTTGCGGGCACTAGGTGTTTGTTAAGTATGACCAAGTTAATGATTAGCAGTGCACTGAAGTTTGATTATCAGTTAAAAGAGTATTTAATTAAAACCACTGGGGTGTCAAAGGGTCAGCAGGGGTCTGTCCAGACATTTTGTGAAAGGTCCGTTTTACGTGAAATTGTGAAAAAATTACTCACATTCTTTCAACCAGGGTCCGCTTTTATGAATTTGTGCAAATAGGGTCCGTTATTGCAAAAAAAACTTTTTCAAGGAGTTTTTGAATTGTAAAGACATACGAGATTATGCTCATGCAATACTGTAAAATTATAATTAAAAAAATTAAATTTTAAAAAATAAACAACAATTGCTGTTTCTAAATTAGCGATGCAACATACAAATATTTGGTATTTGGCCTACAAATATTTGGCCTATACTGCTGAACGCAGAATATTCATTTCAGACGAATAATGAAAGAATCGTCTGCCGAAGACAAAACTTAATTCGTTTATATCCATCTTTCTTGTTTTCTACCCTGGAAAGGGTTTATTCGATTAACAAAATTATAATGAACATAAACAAATTTGTGAAGGGTCCGATTAAAAGAAAAATCATTTTGTGAAGGGTCCGTTTTTAAGTTAAAATATTTTGTGAAGGGTCCGTTTTTATGAAAAGATATTTTGCGAAGGGTCCGTTAACGGACCCAAATTTCTTCTAAACAGACCCCTGGTCAGCCTGCCCTCGACATCCTCAAAATCATAAACCTCGGTCTATTATTATGCTTTTGCAATAATTTATTTTGAATTATATTTTATTTAAATTTAAAAATAGAAATATTGCCTCAACAATCGTATTACGAAATTTATGAGTTTATAATGAAGCATTTTGATAGTTTGTCGTCAGTACAAGATATTTTTAAAATAATGAAAAATAAATAATAATTTTTTCGATGTAACAACATTTAAACATCTTTGAATAAATGAAAGATTTTAATACTTCCTTCCTGAACTCTAGAAAGGTGAATTGCAAAAAGAAAAAAAAAAGAAATTTTAAATTAATAATTTGATGAGACAATCATTTGCTTTGAACAATTTTATAAAAAAAAAAAAAAAAACCTATGAAAACCTGGATCATTGACTGAAAAAATTCATTCTGTAATAAAACAATAATAGCATTTATTGTATTGATATATAAATTATCGCAAATTTATATTTTAGCGAAGAAAAACAAAAACGCTATTGAAATCGAATAAATCACTATTGAGGAAAAAGGGATTTAAGTCATTAAAACCAATTTGATTTCCGATTGAAACTTGAACGTGTATCGAATAATTGTCCTTCTCATAGTTTCCTCTAGCAGTCATTCAGGTTTGGGATAACTTTATTCGTGCCTCTCTCCTTGATGATTCGCGAGATTTTTATAACGTTTACACTCGCCTAAATATCAATTTGTGCACGTTTTCCCCTCATTTTTTACAAAAATTCTAAAAACATATAAGGACAATCTATACCAGGGGTGGCCAAATTGCGGCTCGCGAGCCACATGCGACTCTTTGACGGATTATTTGTGGCTCTCGATAAATGCGCCCGAGTTCCATTTGAATTTTGTGCTATTATATTTTAAAAAATCAAATTATTATCGTTCCGTATGTGCTTCAAAATGTCTTTTAAATTACTGACGACAAATATTACTGTCATACACTGAATTTACAACTGCAGGGGAAAGATAAAATTCTGACTTCTCTCAGTGTATATGTAATTTTAAAACTAAATTACAATTTTTCAAAAGTTCTTTAAAAATAAAACATTTTGTCATTTTCCTCGAATTAAAAAAATTTGTTCCAATATTAAACAAGAAAAACTCAACGAGAATATAAAAAAGCTAGAAGGAATATTGACGGAGTTCCAAAATAGATTTCAAGACTTGAAATATTTTAAATCGTCTCTTGATTTTCTTCTGAATCCACTTGAAAATCATAATTCAAGGTGAGTTTTCCATTTCCAATATAATTATGACCCAAAAAGCATCTGGAGAATTAGAATTAATAGAGATGCAAAAAGATCAAGCTCTACAATTAAAATATCAACATCGATTACTGAATTTTAGAAATTTGTACCAGAATCGAAGTATCCGGAATTAAAAAAGGCTGCTTGTCGAATTTTAAAGAATTATCAGGAGAAGTAAAATAAATGTGTTTAATTTTTAATATTTAAATTCAATACACATATTTTGTACTTTTAATTATGTTTTCAATAATTTCTGTAAAAAAAACTTATACCTTTTTTGTGTATAACTTTTAATTACGGTTTTAATTACGGCTCTCGAAAAATTTCGAATTTTGAAAAATGGCTCGACTATAAAGAACTTGGCCACCCCTGATCTATACGGAATACACTGCATTTATAACTGATTGGTAAGGGTATGTTTAATGAAAACCGTTCTTGCAGCACAAATTGTTTTTTCTAAACTGTTTCGATTTCACTTTTACAGCTGCTATTTCGAAACTAGGCATATTTTAGTTGGGGGAAAATTTTTTTCAGTGATAGTGAAATGAGAATAGAAAAATCGATTACTGGCAAAAATATTTTGTATTTAAGTACACCAATTTACAATTATCAAGCATTTATATTTATACATGTTTAATTTATTCATATATAATGGTGGTTAAAATAATTCAAAATAAAATTAAAATCGTAAAGCCAAGAATGAAACAGCAAAGCATATGGTTCGCTGTGGCTTTAAATATGAAAAACAAATTTTCGTAAAATGCTGCGAAATTTCGAAAAATTATAATTGTACATACATAATAATTTTCTCTTTCGTTTTTTTTTTCAAGATGTTTTCTCTGATTTTTTCATAATAATCAAATTCAAACTTTGTATTTATAGTTACTTAGTTTAAAATAACATAAGCTCATGTACAAAATAAATGTTATTTTTAGGTGTTACATTTTATTACATTCAAAACGCGTAATAATAATAATGTATATCTTTCATATGTTGATCAACGTTTGATGAATAAGGTTGATTACATACAAGAACATAATTTTATTTGTTTACACCAATGTTAGAAATATATGGTAAGTACGTATGTAAAACAAGCATCTTTACAATTAAATAAAATTTACAAGTATATATAGATCTAAAAACTAAGTTTAAGAAAAAGAAAAATCAATATCAAACTGATAATTAATTTTAAAATTTGCAATAACGATTCCGTTTATAGATTTTTAATTGAAAGGAAAAATTACTTACTGAAATCATCTGAAGAAAAAGAAAGTCTAACGACACAGAAAAATACGAAAAATAAAATAAACTTATTCGCAACTTCACTACTTGAATACATATTTTAAATATTTATGGATCACAGTCGAATAACAACATATTTTTCTCCCGATCTGCATCAGGAGCAAGAGATCATTTTGAATGGAATGAAGAAGAAAACACGTGTGTGTTCATTGAAGAGAAGAGGAAAGCCAATTGTCGCCAATAAGCCAATTTCCCTACTTCATTCTCCCTTCCCTACAGCTTTTCAATTTGATAAAGAAAACGATTTATCTTTATAAGTTTCGATAAACTAAGCAACATTCATTTTAGTCGAAAAGGTTCGTCGAAAAGGTTTAGTCGAAAGGTTCATTTTAGTCGAATCTTGTTGATTTATTGGGGTGATATAAAATATGGTTGATAGTAATGTTTAAGATATTGACTTCCCTTTATCAACTGGTATATTAGTAAAGTCAAAAACTTGTGTGTAACGGAATTCCCGAAAATGTATTGCTGCCAGTGATAGGATTTAACTGGTACGCACGAATAAGTTCTTACAATTTCTCAAGTTCTACATCAGGCTCTTCACATTTCCTGAATTGAACCAATACATAAAAAATTATATGAAAAGCTGGAGTTTGCAGTTAATTAGAGCATTTTTTAAATAAACAAGATTATCTAGTAAAACAAAAATCGCGATCGATGTCTAATAGATCATTTCATATTATTTAAATCGAATTCAGTATATTTACCGGTTTTATCAATGGAAATGTTTAAAAATAAAATATACTTAATCTTGAAGTTCTAAAAAATGTTTAAAATTCGGAAATTCGTAAAAAAAATTTTTTTTTAATTTTCAACATAATTTTTTTTCTAAAAAGAAAGATATACCACGAATGATATAAGTCCCTGTTTTGGATACTTAATTTTTTTTTTCTTCGAAAAAAAATCGCTCGAAAATGAAACCTTATAACCAGGTTCACCTAAAATTAGAAAACTAAATAGTGATTCAAAATATTCTGTTTAAATCATTTTCTTTTTTAATCCTTGACTTAAAACGTTAAATTTAATTTTTTATTTCTGATTTAATAAAATATTGTATTGTCGCATTTAAGTTTTCAATAACAATAATCTTTTTAGAGAAAATAAATTTTTATGTGAGGTTTCATAACTTACTTTATTGTTAGCACTGATTAAGTAACATATTTATAAGCTATCCCCTAAAAAATGACTAACTCAATTTGCTATTGGAAAAATCCAAGCATAATAGATCAAAAAAATTATCACCCCCTGTACCAATTGCTCAATATACAAATGGTTTTCATTTCCCCTAAAATACTTTTTCAAGAAGTTAGGATAGAAAAATTAAAGATAAGCAAAGGAAAAATAAAAGATGTTTTTTTTTTTACAATTTGTGCTTTTGAATTGATGATAGTACTTGTTTTTAAAACCGAAACAGCTATACGTTAATGTCTTCAACTTAAACGTTTGAACTCATTAATTAATTTTCAGATTAAATTAATATAGAATATTTTCAATTAATTGTGCAGAAAGCGAGAGTCAAGAGTTATGTATTCAACGTCTGCGTACGAAAGGGATACACACAATACTGCACATCCCTAAAATTTTGAATTCAATAGATCGCCGTACCCGGTTTAGGAGCACTAGAAGTTCAAAATGAAAAAAATACTTTTAAAACTTCATTATTTGAGATAGTAAAAAAATTCACACTTTGCTTAGTAATAGGCAACAAATCGTGTTTAAATTAGTTTTTCTTTCCGAGTTATAAGATCATAAATTTGTAAAGGTTCATACATCAATATGTAGTTCCGGTTGACAAAGTTGCTTTTTCTCATAATGGAATTTTTCAAGGTTCTCACAACATGAAAAAATTCTTTACGCACCAATTTTTGTTTTGTTGCCATTAAAATATTTTTAGATACTCTTCGAGGTGCCTTGTTTAATTCTAAATGCATTTAATTAAATCAATATCTTAATTTAGAGCCGTGGTGGCTCAGGGAATAGAGCGTTTGCCTACCAATGAGTTGAGCGGGGTTCGAATCCCCGCGATGGCTGATTGATTCGAATTCCGCACCCGGCTCGCACCGACCACAGTGCTGAAGTAAAATAGCCTCGTTGATAAATGGATTATGAGTTAGAGTCCCCTTACCGTGAGGCTATCCGTGGGAGGTTTTAGTGGTTTTCCTCTCCATGTAATGCAAATGCGGGTTAGTTCCAACAAAAAGTCCTCTACGAAGGCAAATTTCTCCCAATACTTGATCTAGGAGTTCCCCTATCTTCTGGATTGGGTTCAAAATTACGGAGTTGAGCATTGGATGTCGTAAACTGAAAATTCGCTCCGCTGTTCAACGACGGTTATAAAATATAATATCTTAATTTAGTTTTTTTAATAATTGAACAAACATAACTGAAGCATGTTTTTTTTAAGAAATCTTTGGTGACAAAATGAAAAGTTAATGCCTAGCTGCGTTATATTATAATACGGTTAATATAACTACTTACATTTATTTAACTGTCTATAAACAAAGCACTTTGGTTAAAATTTAATTAAAAAATTTTAATTTATTTGCAAGAAACTTTTTAATTACCAGCATTTAAAAACCATACTTTTAGCTATAACTTTAAAACTAATTATTATTTTTTTGAAAAAACTTTGTACATAGACTTCTTTCAATGCTACCAATATTTTGCTAAAATTTGAAAGTAATCGAATAAAAATTGCACTTTTTTGTTTTGAACGCTTTGTGTCAACTTAACCTCTCTTCCATGGAAAGTCGCAATAAGCAAAGAGAAATACATCACAGTAAATATTTTAATGTTTCATGGGCGGCCCGGGTACCGGGTACCACTCTCATAGAGAACTAAAGTGAATAAAAACGGCATCTCCTTTACATCGAATTCAAAAGATTCAATATTAAATTAAAACAAGCAAGATGTATCGTTAACAAATGTTAGAAATAAGATCTTTTTTTCTTCTTCAATTATAGAGGTTGCTTATTTTATACCAAAATCCCAGTTCTTTTAAGACTTATCATAAACACCGCATAGAATTTACAAATTTGTTTGAATGTTGGAACTACTAACTAGATCATTTATGCACAGATTTGACTAACAATGTCAAAAGCTATGGATACTATACAATACTTATAAGAAAAGTAAAGCATTTCCACAACAGTCCATTGTGGGCTCCACTTTTTCGTGACTAAAGGTGGCAACGTGGTCAGCATTGAACAAGATCGTCTTTAATTTCCAAACAAGCTGGGTCGACTTTTCAAGATGCCCTGGAGGATTGAAATTCAGTCCTTCAAAATGACAGCTCAGTGCTAAAACCGCAGTGTCATCGCAGACAATAGATGACGACAGCATATTTTTACAGACATACCTTCACTTTTTACACAAATTGAAATTAATTTTTTTTTTAAAAATAATAACGATATAACTTTTGATCTAACATATTAAATTTAAATTTCTTACATGCAATAGAGGTGAATGAAAACTATCTGATCAATTTATACATGCCTGAATAACTTTTGATTCAGTGATGAATTAGTAATAATAATTAGTGGTTTGTAGGTACTTTATTTACGTCTCACTAGAGCTGCACAATGGGTTATCAGCGAAGGTCTCGGAAACATCCCGGAGCATGATCCAAAGACATGATAATGCAATTTTGATCCTCTACAGAGGGGACAGATCCTCAGAAGTTTAAGGTAGAACAGTTTAACAGATACCGACAACAAGCACCCTCGGTCCCTATGCAGGATTATCAAAGTGGTCAATCACCAGCTTACTGACCGCAGCAAGTAGTGCTACTGGAAACCTTGTCTTTACAATCAGTCCACTGCAGTATCCAATTAGTGGTTTGAACCGTTAAACTTTTATGATAATTAATCGGTACTATGATTAATTTACAAAAACGCTTTTTTTATGAGAAAAAAAAGATGATATTCCAATAGAGTACATTTGGTTTTCTTAATTCCAATCATTAAATCACAAGTTATTCAGGGTGATATTTTTTATTGGGTTCACTGATCTGAGAACACAGTAAAAGTTGCATTTTTGAAAAGCTGCATCATCATTGAATTATTTAAAAAAGAAAATATGCACAACTGGATGTTCATGAACAAATAATTGTCTTCGGTTGATCATTTAGGATTCCATAGCCAGAACTGCTACTCTAACCAGCTGTGCCACCAAAGTGCAATTAAATGTCACATATCATCCTCATCCATTAAGCTCCCCAGTTCTTTTATAGACACGAGATAAAGAGTCCATTTTCATACATAATGGATGTACATAAATAAAATCAAGAGTACAACTTTATAATTGAAAGTTTTTAAAAACAACAGTGAAACAGACAATAACTATCAATCTATTTTATTAAATTTACTTTGTACATAACATTTTAATGTGTCAACAATAACAAATAAACAATTTTATATACAAGTAACCAGTATAACATTAAATGATTAAAACACAATGATTCTTTGAACAAGTGCAATATAGATTTAAAACAAAGTTAATGATTCACTAACAAAATCAGCTATCTATTTACAAACATGTACATTTCTGGCACAATTCCTTGATTTTAGAATATTTGGCAAGGATAATATAATTTGAGTAACATTTAAAAAAAATATTGTTTTGCTTAGTCATTAATTTACTAATCATACTTTGACAATAAATAACCTCATATGGGTAAATATAAAAGACAATTTTTTTTTTTGCTAAACAATATATGTTAAAAATCATACGCTGATAATTCTAGCTTTCAAAAAGCAACTAATCTACTTGAAATTTTAACTCAATAGCTCAGTTAAGTTTACGGGAACATATTAAGTGTTTTTTTTTTATTTCTGAAATGCTTTTGACATTTCTGACACTTCACAAATACGCAACTTTTTTCAAAAATTTCTCTTGTAGGCAGAAATACCAACTTTTCCACTTTTTTTCAAAACATTTTATTAAGTGGTAAACAATTAAAAACTGAAACTTTAAAAATTCTTCACAGTTAGAGCAAATCTCTTAGAAGGTTCCGTACGAGATTACAATCACAAAGCGGCATTTTCTATGAACTTTTATTATATTCATATATAGTGGAAGGCAACACAACTTTTAATTAAATATAATAAAACAATCATACATTAAAATATACATTTTGCTATCATTAAAAAGTAATTTCAAACAAAGCAGAGCAAGTTGGCATCTCTGTTTATAGAATAACATAGTATGGATTTGCTACCGCACTCCAACTCCAGAAAAAGATTTAATTTACTGCTAGTGCAACAACAATGAAGGAATAAGAATCAAACCAAAAAAAAATAAAAAAATTCAAAAACAGATATTTGGAAGAGCGGGCACTGAGAGATATAGAAGATGTGACAGTGAAATGTAGGTGACGCTAAGCAATGGTTACTTTCAAATTTCGCACGTGTCTATTTAAAAAAAAATTCTTTAATAAATTATCATTGTATTTTTTTAAATAAAATTTGTAAAAAATGTGTTCTGCATCAGTGAGGAGAAAGAAAAGAACGATTTGTTGGAAAGGATGAAACTGTTACTAATCCTTACAGTCATAAAAAAAAAAATTTTTTTTTGCAAAAGAGAACTTTTTATGTGATTTGCTTACTATTAACAATGAATATTTGTTAAGACTACATAAATATTTTTAAGAATGATAAAAACTAAGTAATTTTTAATCGATTTAAATAAATTGATTCACACCAATAAATCTACATTGATAATCACATTTTTTTTCACAATCACTCTGTCAATAAATCATTTAAAATATGTCCTATTTTTCTCTATCATTTTTAGTATTATATTAGAGACAGAAAAGTATCAATACTGTATTGCAGGAATAATAAATTTTTAAAGAAACTATTCACAAATCTCTTGAATAATAGTAAAAAAATTTTTCATAGAAAAAAGTAATCATTGCTTTATTCTAACTAATAGGAAAAAAAATTTAAAATATATTTGGTTACAAGTTAAACTGTCATTCCAAAAGCAATGATAAAGATGCTTATTTTGGAACAGTTGTTCTAATAATGCTGCTCTTTAAAAATGAAATGTCGTGAATAAATTTTGCAATATTTTCAATAATCTCTTTATTGTTGTAATAATCTCTTACCCAATCCAGAAGACAAGGGAATTCTTAGATTAAGTATTGGGAGAAATTTGACTCCGGGAAGGATTTTTTGAGGGAACTAACCTGTAGTTGGGTTACATGAAGAGGGAAATCATGAAACCTTCTCACAGTTAGCCAGCTTGCACTGAGGATATATTACGCCAGCACTGTGGTCGGTGTGAGCCAGTGCAGAATTCTTATCGACCAGCTATCGTTGGGATTGGAATCAGAGTCAGAGGGGAGGATTCTATCCCGAGTCACCACGGCTCTTCTAAATTCTTAAAAGAATTATAATTTTTAAGTTTTATTATATATACCTTCCCTTTCTTGGTGCAACATTACATATTCTAGAATCCATAACACTGCAGAGGTAAGTTGACAGAAAGTGAAGACAAGAAATTTTAGCAGTAGCATAACATTTAAGCTTTTTAAAGTTACTTCTTACATAAAAGAAACATCCTATAAGTACAAGAAGTCAAGAACAAATGTAACACAAATAGCATAGTTCATGGTTCGTAACAAGGAAATTTATACAGGTTTCAATGAAACATTTGTGTTACAGTGTATGGACATTACTTTTTGTAGCCAGTATTGTGGTAATTAAACAGTTTAGGGCAAACATGATATGGTAGTATTTTGAACACTATTAATGATATTATTAAACAGCTTCTTCAGAAGTGTTTAATAAAATTAATTTTGTACTCTAAATTTACTAGGATATGGCAGATTATAGGATTATTTAGAGAAAACACAATCGAATAACTTAATGAATTTCTTTTGAACTCAGTAAGTGAAAATATTATCATTAAGTAAGTCAAAAGTTAATCACAGAACATTATTTATTTTTAGTTAACAAAACAATTATGTTATCTTGCACCTAACAACTTACATCTTGCACATAAGGTAACTTATCTTGCACCATTTATACAAGTACAATAATACTGAACCTCCTTACTTAGGAAAATTAAGTGAGAAATGTAAAAAATAATAATAATAATATAAATATCAAATAAATGTTTTTGGTTTATAATATATATATAATTATGGACTGAAGTAGGACGAGAGATTTGCTAAACAGTTTGAATTTTACATTAACATGTTTTTACAAAATTTTCAATATTATTGTATGATGATTGTCCAGTTATTTCCAATCTAAAACTAGAACACGTTTCGAATTTCAATGCTCTAAGGAATTTTATATATATAGAGATAGATTATTAAGTATTTATGAATAGCAATGAGAAACAGGTATTCTTGATTCACCGATTTCAACCATGAATCGTTAAAATTTTGAGATTTGTATTTAAAACAAAATTCATATTCTAAAATGATACCAATAGTTCAATCCAGTAAATTTAAATGAACACATTGAATAGTAAGATACATTAGTTGAGCAAAAAGTAAAATATAAGAAGGCATCTTCTAATAAAAAGGTTTTAATTAAACATTAACAAAAAAAAAGCACTATTTTCATTTTTCATAATTAACAGTATTTTCAAAAATACAACTTTTTTAAACTTGTATTTGTAAATTAAATTAAACTATATAGTAATTATTTTTTCTAAAAGTACAGTTCTAAAAAATAAATGGACCACCCGGAATAGCTTTTGATCTAATGATCAGATCTTCACTTTCTAGGACTCAATTTTAATGTTTTTAGGGGGTGACTTCAAATATGCTAATTAATCAATGCAGATGATATTTCAAATTACGAAACCTGACACAAAAACATTCCCTAAATAAACATACTTCTTTTAGATGGATTCGGATTTCAGAATGCCGAATGCTTGAAATGTTGTCGAGATTTAGCGAAATACTCAAAAAGTAAAATTAACATTAAGGGGTCCAAGCTTTGGACCGCTCTCCTGACCAAACTATGCGGACCATAATACCCAGATTGCTTCTACTCCCTATATTTTGGGAGTAAGAAATCCGAATTTGTTCATAAAATGTTAAGTTAATTTAGAGAAATCCCGGTTTTGTGGCTAATTTTGTAACTGAAAACATTGCCTGCACTAATTAATTAGCTTATTTGAAGTCACCTCCTCAAACCATTAAGATTGAGTCCTAGAACATTAAGCAGGGGTAATTGTGAGCCCAAGTCGAAATTCCGGAAAATTTCTTGAGTAAGAAAAAAAATTTTTTTTTAAATCGGAAAATTAGAAAAAAAATTAAACAAGGTTTTTTCCTTTTTCTCAATACTTCTTAGTCAGGGTGCGTGGTCAAATTATTCAACAAAAAATAAGCACCTTTTAAGCACTTTTCAAGCACTCAAAAAATATTTTTAAGCACTTGCATAATTCGAAGCGAAAATCTCATTTTGAAAAAGGGAAAATTAAGCACTTTTTAATAACTCCCAATGAAAAAAGCACATTTCAGGGCTTTTAAGAAACGAAAATCGAAAATAAGCACCTTGAAGCACTTTTTAAAAATGCTACGCACCCTGTTAGCTTAAAATATTTTTAAAATTTTACCCATACCTATATCATTTACACATACCAATGATGACTTGGAGAAGTAAATGAAATTTACCAAGATGTCTTTCTTTGTTGAGTTTATGATTATAATAACTATTTACAGATAAAAAAATGAATATTAATCTTGAATATAAGCTGATAAAATATCTAGCTCTCCCTTGCTAACAAATAAAATAAACTGAGTTTTTAAGTTCCACCTTTGAAAATTTGATTTCCGGAAACCTTTGTGATCAATGATTTTTTTAGACGTCTTAACCTTCGATCTCCAGACACTTCCGGATCACGGTTAGCGAAAAATCCGGAAATCCGGATTTTTTCCGGAGCACAATCAGCCCTGATTAAGATTCGAACATTATATTATAAGTTATACGAGGTGGTCTGCTTATTCTTTTGCGCGCTATTGATATAAAAAATGTAATAAGGAAATAGATATTTCAAAATTATCATAGATAAATTATTATTTTTTAAATTATTGTTATTGATGCCAAAATCATTAATTTTTGTAAAATCTAATTAACACTAACAGATAAAAATAACACAAAGCACCCATTAAACAGTAATAAGAGGACACACCTGTAACCAACTAAGAAGGCTGCCAAAATGCTCGGTTAAGAATGTGCATCACTTAAAATATGTATTCATAATATATATATATAAGCAATACAATTACGAAACTGTCTTAGACTAACACCCAATCCTCTCCATTAGCTTTATCTGAACTGTTACTTCTCTGCCTTTGTTTGCTTCGGATGATTTCTAACTGAGTTTTCAAATTTTGTCGCAGTTGTAAAAGGCTATCCTGCATTACAATAAGAAACATTAAGAGTGACATAGAGAGTGAATCATTTAAGTAAAATATATAAATAACATTCATGCTTACATTTTCTTTTTTAAGTTGAATAAATTCGTCAATATAAGAGTTGGAATTATCACCCTCCTTTAATTGGGCTTCATAATCATTCCTAGAAATAGAAAAAGTCACATTAAAATGCTATTAAATATATCACTTATCAAAATCATGAAAGTATAAAATGAATCTTTGGAAACATCAAGCAATTGAAAAATCAGTTTGATTTATTCCTTTTAATTATGAATAGACAATATATTTATTACAATATGCAGGGAATTAAAAATAAGACAGGATCAATAGTTTAGATTTTGAGATTAGCACAAAGTCTTATGCCTAAACAATTCTAAACTTAGCATAACAGTTTGAGTTCTTTTTTTCTCAACTTTATTTATATATCTATTTAGTTACAGTCATTTAAAATGGATAAGATACAGTATAAAAAATGTTAAGTAATATAAAATCACACCAAGAAGTTTAATTTTATCTAAAATGCATATTTAACATTACTGAACACTTTTATAAAAAAAGAAATTAAGTTAAAATATAAGCAACAAATTAACATTTAATAGAAATGAATAGAATAAGTAGTATTTATGCATTTTATTTGATTTTTTAAGGCATTAATATTTAAACTGGAATCCATACAACAACTTCTAGAATTGAATGAATCTACAACATATGCATTCAGCAAACTGAGTGCTTTACTCTCACACATAAAGACTTTAAAATTTAGAGTGAAAAATATTATGTGACTATATATCATTGGGGAAAAAAAGGAAATTTAAAAGAAGGATGCTTAAATTTTATGAAAAATAAGTCCAGGTGATATTAATAGGTAGATTTCCTTTTCTGGCGGGTGGTATACTTTTATTCCTCACTCAACATAGAGAATATATGAAATAAGATAGGTAAAATTTTGGAACAAGTTCATTTAATGAAATTTTGAACATGAAATTATTAAAAAAAAAGTAATTACAAAATTTAATTCATGTAATTAATTAAACACAAAATTCATCAACATATTCAACACAATTCATAAAAATATTAAACAGAAAACTAGTAAATTGTTTAAGTTATTAAAAGCAATTATAAATTAAAACAGAAAGGAAAAAATATGAGACCCTATTTGAATAGTGGTTCATTATCACTTTTGTTCATTTTTGGGAAAAGAGTTTTAAAGTCTGGGTGTATTTTTTATCTCTCCCGCAAGAAGAGCAAGTGGGGCTCTTCCTTAAGATAAACTAGAGGTGTATTAGTTATGAAATAAAAATGGCAATGATTTGCATTAACTTGAAAATGAAGCTAATTGCCCTTTTTAATAGATGAGGTTAAGCCACAATTCAAATAAGCTCATCATATAATTAATTTACTTTTTTTCAGTCAGCAATGTAATTTCATTGAGTTGTCGGAACAATTCACGGGCAAGATCTAGATGCTTTTCATAAATTTCTACAGATTCTGGACATTGAGCAGGTGGAAGTGGCTGTTAAGATAAAAAGACATAAACATTTAAATATTTTTCACACATTAATAAAAATTGCAGGACTTAATAAAATTATTATCTTACTTGAAGTTTTGGTTCCAACAAGAAAAAATAATTTCCTGAATATGATATATTATTCATCATCTCCTCAGAAACTAAAAATAAATAATTGAACAGAAAATGTTATATACATAAAAAGGAAAACATTTTTTTAACTATTCATATTATCAAGAACTATGTTTAACGAAAAGTTACAGTAAGTAACAATCCTACAAAAATACACTCAATTAACACCTGACTTAAGAGGGAAAAAACTGACTAATAGCTATTTAAAGAAATTAAAGTTGGAAAGTCGAAAAGAAAGAGCTTAAAAAAAATGTTTGAGAAAAAAAATTATCCATATTACATTATAAGAGATAATGTATATCAGAAATGCTTTTAAAAATGCAGCGATATCATAAAAATGCCTATAAAAAACAAAGATTTCATAATGATTCACAAAAGCAAAACAGAAAAAAAAACTAATCTTAATTTTTGAAAAAAATTTTTAAAGCTAAACATTACAGTTTTCCAATTACCGCAATTTTAAAAAAAAGCGACAATTAAAGTCTAATAGAGACCCTCTTAGTTGTAGAGTCATAATAAAAACCTCTATAAAAACCTAGGTTTTTTGAAGAAGACAAAGCTAGATAGAAACTTAAACAAAAATCGTTCTTATTTCTTAAACTATAAATCTTAATTTAACTTTTTCACATTGCTGTATTTTAAGAAAAAAGTGACTATAAATTAAATGATTAGAAACACTCTTTAAAAGGTGCTGTCAAAATAAAAATGCTGCTAAAAAGAAAAGTTAAAGAGAAACAGAAATTTCTTTTTTTAATTCTGAAATGTAACTTTAACATTGAGAATCAAAGTATCTATTTAACCATACAAGAAAAAGTGACAATAAAAGAATAAAGTCAATTCGAAACGCTCTGTTACATGCTTTGCTTTAGTTAAAACAGAAAAGCAAACAAAAATGAAACAAAACAAAAAAATTCTCAATTATTAAAACACAAAGTGTTAAAAAAAATGGTAAAATTCATGAATATAATGAGAAAAATCAAATAAAAAAATCAGAGGTTATTAAGTTTATGGTTCAGTATTAAGTAATCTAGTTTCAAATCTTCCCATTTTGCTTTTCCATGCATCTTTCAGAACATAAATTAACAAGTTTTAGGAACTTAACGAATATGTGTAAAAACCATTTAAAAAGAAATACGATTTTAGATTATTCTCTACGAAGTCAATTAAAATTTCTCCAAAAAACTTGCTCCAAAATAATTTTCCTTTATCGAATATTTGGCCAACCGAATATTCAGCAAAAAGGGGCGAATTCCGAATAGTGGCCGAATATTCGTTACACCCTTAATTTAAATTAGCATTTATGACAAGTGATTAAACTTCAAAGGACAAAGATATCACTTACAATTGTTTTTTACACTTTCTTCACTTAAAACTGGAATTTGAAAATATTCTAAATCTTTAGGAAAACTACTCAAGACCTCTGGTGCTTTAAGATGTGGTGAATCACATGATCCAGATCTCCTATGACCTAAAAATAATTTTTTTAAAAATATATTAATTTGATCACATAAGTAGCATGAAGATCATACATACAACTTTAAAAAATACAATTTTTATATTTATATATATAAAATGGTATTTTTCAGATATCTGGTAATAAAAAAAGAAGAAAAAAAATTACAACTGAAGAATTTTATATTTTCAAGAGTAAGGTACTTGGAAACAAATTTAGTAAGCCCAAAACTTTAAAAATCTCTGTAAACAGTTTTTCATTTTACTCTGTAATCAGTTTTTCATTTATGTCAAAAAGACAAAAAAGTTTCAAACTTAACCACACCAAAAGTAATTAAAAATTTAAATTAAGTAAGACCTGTTGCTCATTTTTAGATATGTAAGCCCAAAAGCCGAATTATATTATCTATGATATGCAACAAGACTCTAGGTAATTTCAGATGTCCTGCAGGTATCATCAAAAGTTAAGAAACAACTGTCACAAGTTAAAGTGAGGAATCATTTTATTTTCCAAATGAATTTTGCAAAAAAAGAATAAATAGTAAGATATCACTTTATATTTGCCATTATAATGAAACAATTCACACTTTTTAGACATAAATTGCTCTGCACAGATTTAGATAGTTTGGCAACGTTTATTACAGTTTTGAGCACTTTTTGCTTTAAGAAGAGTACATGGTTACAGAAAAAAAATAAAAAGTATGTCTATCGCTAATACTTTTAGCTAAACTGAACTATGCAGCACAAAAAAAATATCATGACAGAATTTAATTTAAAAACTAATGACTGCATCAACAATATTTTCATATCAAAATATTCTTTTAACATTTATCTACAACTGGGCAGAGCTTTAGATTTCAAATAGTTTTAGTGTTACAGGAGAAGCGCTTGCGGCCAAAATATAAAACAGTAGCGATGTCAATAACACAGAAATTTTTATAACAAATAGAGACAGTTTTGAGTTTTCGAAATGTGGAAAATTTTTGGAAACATAAAAGATAATAAACTAGAAAATTTATTAACATTTAAAGGAAGTTATGGGGGGGAATTAAAACTAACCTAAATTAGTAGGCAATTTCATATCTGAATTAGAAAAATCGGCTGATCGCCGCTTCTTCATATCCTTTGCATACTTCTCTCCAGCATTTTCGACACATAAGAATTTACTATCAACAAAGCTAGACAATGGAGATCCAGGTATATCCTCCTAAAGATAAAAAACTTAAACTATAATACAGTTATTATGATTTTATAAGGAAAATAATATTGATTATACATTATGGATTTAACAGTTAGGGAATTCAACTATAAGTAAATATTTATTATACACGTTCAAGTATTTTAGTGATTTATGTTTAATCAATTGATTGAATTGTATAAAAAATGTTCAATTTAATGTGTCTTTCCATTAATAAAGCTCATTTTTGCTTGAATAAAAATCTTTTGTTGAAAAATAATACAGACTAATTTAGAAAAGATTACTCAAAAGAACTGTTAAAATATTTCATGTATTAAGACAAAAACATGGAGAATTAAAAACATGACCAACATAATTACAATAAAAATATGAACTACAAGCAAACTAAAATAATCGATTTCATAATGTATAATAGTTTTTGTATTTATTTTGTAAGGTTTTCTCACAATGCAAATTTTCCGCAATGCTATGACGGATAACTGATTTTTCCGGTTTTCTGAATCGTTACAAAAGGCCGTTTCTTTATTGTCAAACTCAACTAAAAAAATATATATATACTTAGAATAATTTTAAAAAACTCGTACTTCTTTTGACAGTGTAGGAAACTAATGATTACTTCTAAAGTTATGGTAAACATCTTTTAAAAAAGAAAGAAGAATTCTGAAATCATTTGAGGAAAATGATTTTTTTTTTTAAATGGCTGGAAAATTTATCGAATTTCGTTCCAGTTTTCTGACATTCTGATTTCCGGATAAGAGGTTTTGTACTGTATAATTCAAATTTTACTGTGACACGGTAAACAATGGGCAGGTTAAGATTGAAACCATGGACTGAAGTTTAACTTCGCAGCTTTAGCGCAGGGCAATGAAAAAGTACTAAACATTGTTTTATAGCTGATATAGTGAATGAAATTTTTAAAAAGATGAAGAAATGAAACATTTTTCAATTTCATAGACTTTTGAATCACTTTTTAACAATTTCATAGACTTTTGAATCACTTCAAAGTAAAATAAAGAAGCAAAAAACTTTCTACGTAAATAAGATGAGAAATTTTAAAAGATTTCTTGAGGGAAAAAAAGGCATTAATACCAGTTTTTGTGGAAGAACAGTTTTATAACCAGAACTGCCAGTCTCCGGTTTTGGAGCAGAACTTGTGGTAGGGGTAGATTCTTCGCTAACACTAATTTCTAAATTGAATGGATTAAATTAGATTAGTGAATTAAGATATACAAAAATTTATAATTCTGATTACTATGAAAACACTTAAAATATAATTTTAGGTATGCAAAAAAATGAAATAACTTGAAATGTTCTTCCCATCTATACATTTTGTAAAAGTATGAAAATTTTAAGTGAAAGTTTTACAAGATTTGTAAAAAAGTTGTAGTTACTTTTCTTATCATTTTAATTAAAAATACTTAATCTTTTGAACGTTAGTCTCGATTTTTTTAAAAATTTTTACTGAATGTTTCCAGGCATGAAAAAAAGTTTTTATTTTCTAGGGAGGTTTAAGTCTTTATTATTAGTACTGCTTAGCGAGGATATTATAATATAATTTGGAAGATTAATGAAAAATAAAGCAAAATTATAAACACTATTATAAACAAAAAAAAATTAAAATTCTAAATTTTAATTAAAAATTTATAGTTTGCTAATACAAAATATTTTTTTGTAGTTGAAAAGCATGCCGAAAAAATAATTTAATATAAAAAATAATTATGCTTAAAAACATTTTGATAAAATTGCAAACAATTCTAAATTAAATATCCATATAATTAAAGTTAAAAAAAAAATTTAAAAAGCATTACTTAATTGAAAGAAAAAACACACAAATAATTAGTCATAAATGTGTTAATCCTACAATATTAAATCTATTCATGTCAGAAATAGAAGAAAAAAAAAGTAAATTTAAAAGTAAATTTAAAACCAATATACTGCTTTACAAAATTACACATTTTTTGAACCACTGTCCTTTAGAGTGATTCTATGAAAGTGAATAGAAAGGCATAGCATAATTATGAAATTTGATATATAATTCATATGATAACTCTTTTAATCTTATAGCGTAAGATTTTCCTTCTAACATTAATCTGCCTAGAAAATTTCTAGTTAGAATAGTTAGAGAATTTGCTTTATGATGACAAAGAATGTACTTCTAAAAATAGAAAGTGTTTAAATCAAGAAAAAACTCATAAGGTTAAAAGCGAACATAAAAAAAAGAAAAAAGGAATGGGTGAAGCATGTATGCGAGGCTAGAATTAAATGAGAAAGAAACACATTACTCTTTTAATTTTTACATTATAATTAAAATATTCCTTCCCACTATAACCTTACATTTCAAATTCCCTTTTCATTTTTATGTGTAAAAAAATTAATCTATTATAGTGTATTCAAAATTTCAAATAATATATTAAATAAAGAAGGGTTAAAAGAAGAAAAAAAACTCTAAAAGGTTTGGAAAAATAACGTGCAGATATAGGCTAAACATAAAAAAATGAAGTTGGTAAAAACTAGTAATCGGAATCATATTACACATTAACATAGTATTAATACAGTTAATTTCTTACGTACATTATTAAGGTTTCTAGTCTGAAAAAATATCAATTTAAAATTAACTTTTAGGTAGAAGGAAAGGTGCCGCATTCAGTCATAATTCCCATCTTTGTTGCAATTTGAGCACTCCTAATTTAATATTACTAAATATTTTAACCTGCAAGTGAGGGAAGAATCAAACCAGAGAAAAACAATTACATCCTAAAATTATTTTTAAAACAAAGAAACATTTTACAAATTGATTATAAATTTTAACGCTAAATTAAGTGCATATACATAAAACAGTAAGAGATATTTACCTTGTGGTGGTAAAAATGTGATAGGTTTATCAGCTCCTTCCATAAATTGAAATATTTTAGCTAGTTCATTTTGTACTTGTGTCATAGACGGCCTTGTAACTGCATCTTTGTCCCAACATCTGAAATAAAATTTTCATACACAAAATTAGGAAATATTAAAAATTAATAATTAAAATTGAAAATATAACTACTAGGAGAGGAGGGAGAATAAATTAAATATCCATATAAAAAAAAGTTGAATAAATATTTTTATAATTAAAATAGCATTTAAATCATTAGAAAATGAATTAGAAAATTTACTAATCCTCGTTAAACAGCTTTACAATTATTCCTTTTAATATTTATTTTTTCTTAATTTAAAAAAAATAATAATAATAATAACCACTACTCTCTACTGGGTAGCTGTATTGAAGATTTAATACTATAAGCCAATGTTGATAGACAACAACAGTGTCATAAAAATGAGATCAATAAATAAAATTTAACGGGGACACCTTCAGGTTACAGTTAGTTAACTCTAAGTTAGTGTAACTGGCAACTGGTAGAAAATTTAAAAATTAAACATTAAAAAGTATGAGATAATTTTTATTTACCTTGTCATAAGACTCTCAATAGGTTTTGGGCATCCTTTTATTAATGGTGGTCTTTTGCCTAAAATATAAATATTTATAAAAAAAAAACATTTAAAATAAAATACATTCAAATAATTATATAAAGAGGTTGCCTAATTTTTTTTTTTTTTTAAAAAAATTGAAACAGAGTTGTTAAGATTCAAATAATGATTAAAATCGCAATTTAAATCACTTGATTTTTATTTTTAAAAAATCATTGATTTATATTAATTGAGATTTAAACCTTTAGATTTTTTAAAAAAATTATAAATTCATACTAACTTTGATTTTTTTAAGAAAAAATTATGATTAAAGGCAATTGATTTTTTAGAAATATATTACAAGATCGAAAATATTTTCATAAATTATTTTTTAGAGTATGTTTTTTATTCTCATTTCACTGATAATGAAGGTTTCATCCAAAGGAATAATGAATGCGTAAAATATTATATTTCAAAATAGACTAATAAATAAGTATTATTAGAGACTAAATGTGAATAGAGTAATGTTAAACCATTAAATTATGATTCTCCATTACTTTCATGAAAAATAATTTACTGGTAACAAACATAGTTTAACTATACCCATTTAATTTTATGCATATGATTTATACCCATTTAACTTTATGCTTCGCTAAGTAAATCATAATTATAGTTGTAGATAATACAAGTATTGTTCATGATTCAATATCAATTAAAATGTCCCCAATAATAAAAAAAGAAACTCTCCCCAGGTTTTTGTCAGATTTCAACAGTTTTTGATACTTAATGACAGGTTTTTGGTGCGTCATGCAAAAAAACAGTTTTTGACATCAAAGACCCAATCATTCAACCCAAGCGTCACTTATTTTCTCTCAAAGTAATTCAAATTTTCATTGATGATATAGGCATTTAACTGTAAAAAGTAATTTTAATAAATAAAGTACAAGTGAACCTCATTAGCATAAATACATTTTATGTAAACTTCTTATTAAGTGAACTAATTTCTGATTCTTCATTTTTACATTTTTATTAATTTCTACATAATTCTTCATTGTGAGGGAATAAAAGAACATCCATAAGAGCAGGGACATAGGTAAGGGGGGTATTCAGGGTGTTCAAACACCCCCCATTGTACAGAGCAATGTTTCTTTTTTTTAATACTATATATAATTTTTCCTTAATTTTACAAACTTTTTAAATATTTTATTTACTGAAAAAAAATGTAGAATTCCCATGACATTTTATTTTGAGGCTTTTATTAGTCTGTAACAGAAATAAAATAATCACTGCTGCCTCTTTGCTACCCATTCATCAAGAGAGCAACAAACGCTTATCTTGAGTGATTAAATTAGATAGCATCCCTTTCCTCATTGATTTACCACCCACAAAACTTCTCCCCTCAGAAAAGTAGCCAGCCCAGCTCATATTACTCTAAGGGAAAATGTTCTTCCAATGGGTTCTATCTTATCTCATCTACTTTTTAAAATATCGGCTATACACAGATCCTATTTACGGTCATAAAATGCATGCCTCAAACAAAGAATTCTCTTGGATTTCTAGGACTGCATATATATGTTAACCTTTTCAAGACATAAAAACTTCCTTGGCAATTTTTTCGGTCATTCTGTCTGGGAACTTTGTTTTAGACACTCATCCTAAAAGCTCTAAGTTTTAGATTTTTCCTTTTGNAGCCCTTCTCCCTTCCCTCTCCTCCTCTTTTCAGTTGTATAGGAATGTACTACGATATTTTCCCTTTTCTTAATACTTTTCCTTTTTATTTAATCAAAATATTTTTTAAAATTTCCATGATACTTTTCTTTAGAACTATGTTTAATGCAGTTTGCAGTTTCATATAGTGTTTCAAGTTGAAAGATTTTAATCTATATGAAAATCCAGAGAGAAACTAACGTACTTCCTTCCTCTATGACTTTCCACACGCTAATGGGGAAAGCATGTGAAGTGTTGCCATAGGAAAAGAGTTCTGCTCTACGCCACCTGCAGCCCATTTCGATCGCGAATAGTCCGCGACCTTACGAAACACGGATTTTTCATTCAATTTATTTACGAAATATTTTGAGGCTTTGTATCTAATTTTTTTTCTTGTGCTGTATATCTTTTGTATTTATTAATAATTTTTGTTACATTATTAGAGTTTTACACCTTCTATGTAGTTCAACAGGATATTATTGAAATAAACAAAGACAAAAATTTGTCGGAAGATATATTCATTTACCTACTTCTGCGAATATACCAATATCTACGAGTAATTTTCGATAAATGCTACAATTTAATGTAACTGCCATTGAAATCTGATATCATAGAATAAAATGACAATTTTTTTTAAAGTTTATTTAACACCATTATTATTAGCTTTTTGGAATGATTTTACACACTGTCATTTTCCTGCGTTCTCTAAATAATTAATGTAAACTATATTATTCTATCTGAGCTGTTAAATAAAGTCTTGTGATTAATAGCACAATGACTAACTAAAAATGAAATGGAACATGGAAGTAAAAGCTATAAAATTACAAATTGTAATTTTTCTGGCACTTGAATGTCAAGGAATAATTGCAAACTGCTAAATGCCTGTTAACTATTGTACAATGCTCTCTATAAGGTATTAATTACAGTAACCTTAATAAACTAGTACTTTTTTAAAAAAAAAAATATAGTAATCCAATCCAAAAGGTTAAAAATTTAAAAAAAAATTTCCTATGTGTCGTATTTTCCGAAAATTACCCATATATTCTACTTCGTAAAGAATTTATTTTTTTACATATTATTTTGGCTGCTTAAACGCATTATAATTTGCGGTGAACAGATTAATTTTTATTGATATTTTATACGTGAATTTTTGACAATAACGGTGGTTTTGTTTTAATGTTCTTTTTATTTGAATTTCGCTTATGTCCCAATCGAAGGGAAGCGATCAACGACGTTTATGTCTTGCCTTTATTTTGATCTCATTTAGATCACTGGTTGTGATTTTTAGTTTTAAATGAAGCTTACAGTGAAAATTTCTGTATTAGATTATTTTATCAAAACCAAAATGAGTTTACTTGTATGTATGTAACTGGTTTAATTAAATTACATCTAGTTAATAAATTCCTCAATCACAAAGCACCCCCCATGAAAAAACTATACCTATGTGCTTGCATAAGAGACTGTTCTGAAATCATTAAAAATACAGAGTAGTTTTTAACAAATTATAAAATAACACAAAACAGAGGGACTATTAAAATAATTATATAGCAAAAGATCATTTTGTTTTGAAATCATTAAAACTAGAAATCAATATTCAACAAAAACAGACAACAGCATATGGAGAGTTAATTACCATTATGTACAGCCCACATGATACCAAAAGCAGTAGCACCTTCACCATCATGGAAAGGTTTTTTTCTAGTCAGAACTTCCCATAAAATAATGGCCCAGCTAAAAACATCACATTTCTCACTATATGTAGAGCCTACAAATAAACATCAAACAATAAGTCTTTAAAATTTCAATATTATAAAAATGATAAACTAAATATAAAAAATCATTATTTTACCCTCAAAGACTTCAGGTGCCATCCAAGCTGCACTGCCTTTACTATTAGTCATATTTGTGTGTATATCACAAGCTGTACCAAAATCACAGATTTTCAAAACAGTTCCGCCATTTATTAACAAGAGACTGGAAAAAAGACAATAAGTAAAAAGCCATTGAGTAATTTTCACACAAAAAAATATATCACTTCATATCTGCAATATATTTATTTATTATGACTACACTAGTGCATTTCAATATTCCATGATATACAATAGAATCATTTACAAGTTTTTTTACTTGTTAAAAAGTCATATTAAATCCAAAAATGTATGGTTACTAAATAAAGGCTAATGCAATTACTTCTCTATAAAACTAAAATTATAAATTTAGATATTAACCTCCTAATGAAAGGTCAATTTTCAAGAAAACGGTCATAAAAGTGCCTATTTTTTGACATCTAGTTAAAAATAAACTGACATCTAGTTTAAAATAAACTAACTACCTACAATTACCTTAAAAATATCTTGATACTGCCATCTGGTGTGTAAAATGAGAAGTAAAATGTTTTCCGGGCAAAAGAAATGAATTAGTTTTATTCTTATTGGTGCATTACTACTGAACACTCCAGCACTGAAATTTCACAGGAGAAAGAAATAGAGGACGAAACCTCACCATGCCATTTTCATCGGAGTGAGAAGGAAGGGGTTAAAAGAATCTAATCTATTTATTTATATGTTAATAAAGATACTTTACTAATTGTTAGTTCGCAAAAAAAGAAACTATTGAAAGACACATATCAGACTTCTATCATCATGACAAAAACACAAATCTACAAGTTTCAGTAGATTGTTTCATCTATCACAAGAAAAGAAATTGTGAGCAAGCAACACCATTTTATCTAATAATGAAGAATGTTAGTTTGCAAGAAAGCAAGCTATTGAATAACACACATAATATTTATCAGACCTCTTAAAATATACCATAATAAAGACACAAGCCTACAAGTTTCAGAAGATTGTTTCATCTATCAGAAGAAAAGAAATTGAGACCTAGCAACATCGAATGATGAAGAAACAGTCTTTTGAATTGCATAGCTTTGTGTGTCATTTAACTTTCATTCACTTAAGGAAGTACACTAAGCATTTAGCGTTTACTTTAGTTATAATGAAATTATTTACTTAGGTGGTTTAAGGTCACGATGAATAAGAGGTGGCTTCATGTTATGAAGGTATGCAACACCATTTGCAGTTTGGAGAAGCCAGCTAATAGCATGAGCAGCTGTGTATACCACTTGTTTCATACAGTGCAGAACTAAAATGTAATCAATTTACTCAAATATAAAAATCATTTTATAACATTTCTATAAAACAAAAATATATTAATATCAACATTTATTTTTCTTATTGTTAATTCTAACACCAGTAACAAAATTAATGTTGCAAATATTCAGAGAAATTAAATATCTATTGGATTAATAGTTAGTTTGCAGAGCAGAATTATTTTTTATTCAAATAAAATTTTTTTTAACGGTCTGGAAGTTAAAATAAAAACATATTGAATATTTTTAATGTAAAAATTAACTTACAATTCAAAAATCATTTTTAAAGATCAATTTAAAGATCTATCAACTTTGTAAGTAACCTTGCATGTAATATACAATTTTGGTCATTAACATGATTCTAATAAATGTTAAATATAGTTTATCAAGTTTTTTCTTCCTTTAGTTGTAGTTTTTATTTCTTTTTTTATTAAATAAGATACATTAACTGAATATTTTACTTGACCTCTACGAAATTAAAAGTAACCAAATAGGGTAATACTTATTTAGACATAAGAATTCTTGTTCCATTCATTAATTAATTAAAAATATTGCATTAACATTTAAAATTTATTTTATTTGTACATGCTGACATAAGTGATTAAGTCGACATAAATTTTTGTTGCATGAAATATAATACTGTGCTTTTTATTCAATATTGATTAACTCTCTAAGTGTTAAGGTTTGGAGAAATTTGCCTGCTTATTTTTTTTCAATTGGTACATAGAGAGAAAGTAGTTTGCTTTTTCAGAAAGCAACTAGGTTATAAATTGTGAAAATCTCAAATTAAATGCTCAGAAAGTTAAAAATAAAAACTAATACTATATCTTTAAATAAAAAGTATAAATAACTAGGAGGAACTTTAATATTTTAGTTTTTTGCATAAAATATGTTCAATGTTGAATAGATTTAATTAAAAAAGACTTGATAAAGAACAACATAAACAATGATTTTTAAACAAAAATTATTAATATATATTAAATTTGATTGTAAATAATAATTTCTATGAGTAAGATAGAATCAGTTAAAAAAATAAACTTACCATTGTACAAAGAACCGCCTTCAGCATACTCCATAACTAAACATACCTTTAAAAAAAAATTATCCTAAATTAAAACTGCAATTTAAAGTGACAGATAAATGAATCTTATTATTATTTTTTTAAAATTTACTTACTGGAGTTTTTGTACAGGCTCCATACAACTTAACAATATTTGGATGATTAACTCTTGACAGCTGTTGCACCTTAAAAAATCAGAAAACTCCTTTTAGGAATCATGATCTTTTTATATCATTACATTATATAGAATCGAAAACTGTATTCTTAGTATTACCTCAACAATAAAAGCCTTTTTTTCTTGTTCAGTTTCTATCATTTTTATAGCAACAACTAAATTTCGCCATTTTCCTTTGCGAACAGTTCCGAAGGAGCCTTTTCCAACGACCTGTTGAAAATAAATCATTTAAGTATTTAAGCAGTTTTTATCTGCATTGGTTATGCTCATTTCAATTTAGTTAATAATTATGAATTTCAAACAAAGGATCCTTTGTGCAGAAAATGAAATGTTTCTGCTATTTTAGAAATAGGAACAAAATTGACTTGTACAAGTATCAAAAAATATTTTACGCACTAAAATTATAAATATATGAATATATACCGTAAGTACATGTCATTTTGACTTAATTTTATTTAAGGATCGACCCAGTTCTGAGTAGTGCAGTCGTGAAAGCTCATATTTTTTAATAGAAGCTTAATTTCTTTATTGAGCTTCATAAAGAATGAATTTTCTAGGAAATGCGAGAGTGAAACTCAGTCTTGATTTTTAAGCCTTTTTTCTATTGATTTGAATGCCATTTATTCAGTTAATAGTTCTCTAACTAATATTCAAATGTTTTTTGTTTTTTTTTACTCCATTGTACTTCCCATACATTTTTCTACAATCCATTGTAATTTTAAGTTCTTAAGTCTTATAGTTTTTGCATAGCATAATAATAGAGCAAAAAAAAGTGAGAAAATTTTCAAAAAAAATAAATAAATAAATAAACACTTAAAATTTAAATAACTTTTGAATAATAAATTTTAAAAAAAATTTTTTTCTTTAAAAAAAAAAAAAAAAAAAAAAAAAGCTTGTGTTGATTAATAATTCTTAAACTAAACATCAAAAGTTAAATTTGTTTAATTCCATTGTAATCCTTGTACATTTTTCAATACAAAATCGCAATTTAAAATTTCTTAATGTTATAATTTTTACACAACAATACACGTAATGTAAGTTTGAAATCTGATCAAAAAGGCTGCGCTTATGAATCTTTCATATAGAGAGATACTATTTATTTATTTGATCAAAAGTTGCAGAGGCATTTATTTACATTTTTAAATGTATGAACATTTTTAAAAATTCTGAGTTTTAAGAAGTTAACATAAATTTTTTGTTTTTAATGTTTATTTAACTAACATATAAAAATCTTGCTATGTTATACATTAAATTAAGAGCAATTTTTACAATCATCTCTGACTGGCTGTGCTAGGGTCAAAACCAAATTTGAATTTATGAACATCATCATCACCTAACAAGGTATGGCCAAGCGAGTCTATGAATACTGAGCTATAGATTGACTCAGTAAATTGTGCTACCAGGCAAATAAACTATTATAACCTGCACATTATTAACATAAAAGCAAGCATTAAAATTATTTTAATAAATGTGATATTTACTGACTTTTTAAACCTTTTATTTCTATACAGAAAAACATGGTCGAGCTAAATATGATTACTTACGATAATAATTTGTAAGATTACTGTATAGTGATAACTTGATGAACATTTAATATCAGAATAAGTAAACAAAGTATAAAATAAAGTACACATAAAAGAATTTAAGTATAAAATAAAAAAAAGATCATCTCACTAATTTTTTTTTCAACTTCTAATATGTAGTATAAATCAAACACAAATGATTTTAAAAAAATTTACCCCTTGCAGCTTTATTTCACGAAAGTCAATCTCCTCCACAAAAGGATTTGTAGCAGCCATCTTTTCTTGAAAGTTTACAACTCAATGAAGCCACATGAGGATTTTAAAATCTGAAAGAAAAGTTATATCTATACAACAAATTAAAGACAAATATACATGAAAAGACTTGGGCAAACATTCATACAAGGTTGGCAAAAGAGCTGACAAGTTTCTTCCCCAGCAAAAAAACAGTTTTAATCATGGATAAAACTGCTGAGTTATGAGTTAAATACTGCCACAAAATTACATTTATAGGTATAAATATAATTATTCACAACTTAATTAACACATTCAATGTAGTAATTAAGGTCAAATATTAATTTTTTTACATATACAAACTAATTTATGTTGAAAAGAGAATGCCTAGAAAGAATTTATTACGTTATATCGTTTCATATTATGGCGAAATGCAATTATTGTCCCATCACTTAAATATTTTAAAAGGAAAGGGAAAAAATCAATAAGTAAATGAAAGAAAATATTTTAAATAATATTTAACTGAAAATTTAATTAATACTTTAAAGAAAATAGAATATAACTATAATTTTAAAGAAATATTAAGAATTTTAACTCTTTAGTGTAAAAACAACTTAGTATAACTTAAAATTTTTTACATTACGTTAAGATCATATTTGGTATGCAAACACAGTGATTTAAAACCAAACTCTTGTTTGTTATTTTATAATGCATTTTGGTCTACCAAGTAATGACAATAAAATAGAAAAACACCTTTGTTTTTTTAATTTCAAAATATATTTTCCTTAACCACACCATTTGCTCTATAGGAATTAAAAATATAATAGATATTGTTTGCTTACATTTTAAAACATAATTGGTCAATTTTATCTAAATTGTTGATGCTTTAGAAATTGGAACAAATTGGCCTTGGTGGCATTTTTTAAATTATACATATAATTAAAAAAAAATTTTATCTTATGCATGCAAACAATAAAACTTTTCATCAAAATAACCTAGTAAAATTTTTATTTGAGTAGAAGTTTATTCTTGTCCTTATTGCCTTTTTTTTTGTTTTTGTTCTGAAGTTAAGAAATGTCAACAATCGAAACTGAAGTTGCAAATTTCTATAATGCGTTAAAATTATTATTTATCTTTTTAATAAAATTCTTATTCATACTAACACTTCTTTTTTTACCTAAATTAGGCGATTTTTTAAACTGATATACCTGGAAAACTAGTCTTGTGATTGATCTAAGGTAAAACTTGTCATTATCACGAAATAGTAACAAAAACACAGCTAATTAATAAAATAAGTTAGTTCAAACGTTTTTTAGATACTGATTTTTACTTGAGATAGACAACAAATACAATTAAAATGAGCAAAAAAGAAAAAAATTTCCCAAGTCTAAGTTTACTGTTATGTGTTAAAAACAAAATTTCTTCAGAGATCCTAAAAGGGACACGAACCTCGTTCCATTTCTATTCCAACCTTAAGAGTTAATAAAAATTTATGGCTGATAGCTTTTTATCTCTTGCTTTAAATAAAGATGAGGGAGAAATTTGATTCCTATTCGCGATCGCAACACTCGAATACGCCATCTGGGGAGAGACCGGTTTCATGCTTTCAGCCCTTCTCCCTTCCCTCTCCTCCTCTTTTCAGTTGTATAGGAATGTACTACGATAATTTCCGTTTTCTTAATATTTTTCCCTTTTATTTAATAAAAATATTTTTTTAAATTTCTATGATACTTTTCTTTAGAACTATGTTTAATGCAGTTTTCAGTTCCATATAGTTTTTTAAGTTAAAAAATTTTAATCTATGTGAAAATCAAGAGAGAAACTAACGTAGTTCCTTCCTCTATGACTTTCCACACGCTAATGGGGAAAGCATGTGAAGTGTTGCCATAGGAAAAGAGTTCTGCTCTACGCCACCTGCAGCCCATTTCGATCGCCAATA